TCACCAGATCTGGCACCATGTGAATTCTGGCCCTTCCCCAAAGTCAAAATGACCATGAAAGGTAAACATTTGTAATCAATTCAGGACATCAAGGCAGCCACGACAGTACAACTAAAGACACTCACGAAAGAGAACTTCCAGAACTGCTTCAGAAAGTGGCAAGAACAATGGGATAAGTGTGTTCAAAGTGAGGGGGGAGGGTAGTATTTTTAGGGGGATTAATGGCAATGTGTCTTTTGTTATTATAAATTTTTTTTAATTTAAACATTCACTGAATTTTTATCACACCTCATATTTTAAATGATAAGATATTCATTTAAAAATATAAATCATTGCCTTCTAGTTAAAATATCTATTTTTTTTATCAGCACTAAAATTTTTTGATCTTCACAGAACTGAACTTTTCAACAAACATTTGTTTCTGGATGCAGAAAGACATATACAAATTCAATGGAAAAAACATAGCCACCCTTTTATCACTTTCCAGCTCTACTCTGTGATAGAATAGAATTATATCCCTCAGATAATTGACCGGATATCGGGTGACAAAAACACAGCTATTGTTATCACCCTTGACCAGCACTTTCGACCCTTCCCCATTGACATTTTCATTCACAGAGTCATCAATATTCAAAAAGCTACTGAACGACTGCTCCTAAGAAACCCAGCCACTAAAGTGATCCTTAAGATGGAAAACATTAGGGAGATGCACATAGATACAGAGAGGTTTGAAGACTTCCATGGTTATATTCAATCTTATCATGAAGGACATTTTCAATGTTCTCAATGTAGGTGTCATTGATGCCTGGGACATGACCATTGCATATGGCACCAATAATGTCCATCCACCTGATCATGTGATTGGAAATCAGATTAAACTGTTCTTCAACTACATTTGCAAAAACCTAAATATAGAAAATCCCTAGGGACAACCTTTGCCAATAACCCAACTTGTATTGTGAGAGAAGTTTTGTTTATTTTAGGGACTAAGAAAATCAAATTTAAAAGAATCTGTCTAAACAGGGAGAACACTTAAGAAGAAAGACAACCAATGTAGGATACAAAGCCAAGAGAATCAGACATAAAGAATGATTATACTTTTTCTATGCCTGAGGCCATATTGCAATTACCAATTTGTATTGTCTCATCCCTTCCCCTCTCCATCATCCCCACCCCCTCCCAAATAACAACCCTCAGTTCTTCCTCTTTGTCTCTGAGACTATCTCCATCCACTTCTCCCATCCATTCAGTTCCTTAGAATCCACGTATAAGTGAGATCATATATTTGTCTTTCTCTGAC